TGAGGATGTATTTGAAGAACTCGTACACTGACCAGGCGATCGCTGTTGAGGGCATCTGGTAAATGACTCTTGCCTGGACCCCTCTGAAGTAGGCGGTCACACCACCCACTTGGTACACCGTCCTGAAGGCATTGGCCATGCCTGTGATGTGTCCGCTGATGTTGGAGCTCAAAGCCAGGGACTCCTGGGTGTTGAGCAGCGTTTTGCAAACGTCCAAAGGTGTAGTGGCAGCAGCAGCGACAGCCCCCGCGCAGGCTCCGGAGACTACGTGGGAGCCCGGGTTGTACTGTCTGTGGGGGTTGAGCTGCTCCTGCAAGAACTCGTAGGTCATGAAGTGAATGGCTTGGAAGGGGATGTTCATGGTGAGCTGGGTGGTGTAGCTGCGGTAGAAAGCTCCGGCCCCTTCGTTGTGCCACACAGCCCGCACACAGTCCGTCACACGCTGGTAAGGCGAGTTGTACATCTGCATCCTCTGTTTGACCACTTGGGACGGACGGTAGCAGCCAGCAGCAGCAGCCAGGACCCAGGGGCGGAGGGAGGGGAAGAGGAGAGAGAAAGGGTAAGCCTGAAGCCAGGCTTCCTCCAAGTGCCTGGAGTTCGGTCATGCTGGTTTAAGAGCTAATGACAGACAACTCGGACCAGCAGTGCCCTGCGTGCGCCCAGGCAGGACTGCAGCCATTTAGATCTGTCGAGGCAACACCCTGCACGGACATCACCACCTGCAAACCCCGCGAGGGAGGGGAAGAGGAGAGAGAAAGGGTAAGCCTGAAGCCAGGCTTCCTCCAAGTGCCTGGAGTTCGGTCATGCTGGTTTAAGAGCTAATGACAGACAACTCGGACCAGCAGTGCCCTGCGTGCGCCCAGGCAGGACTGCAGCCATTTAGATCTGTCGAGGCAACACCCTGCACGGACATCACCACCTGCAAACCCCGCGGCTGCCACAGCCCCAGGGAATATCCTGATACCCAGGCGCTCATGCTCCAGATCCACCCTCACTCCCCAGCAACTGACATCTCCCCATCCATCACCACACAGACAGGAGAACCCCCTCTGCATCAATCTTCTTAGTTTCCAGACAGCTCTAGATGTGGATGAGCCTGTCCCACCCCAGCCGCCCCCTCTGCAGCACAGAATAACCACAGCATATCCTAGAGCCCACCAGCCAGGAAGCGTTAGAGGCTGCCGCCAAAATGCAGCTGCTCTAGGGCAAGAACCAAATGCAAACCCACCACACCCGCCAAAAAGTGGGGCTGGGGAGCCCAGGGCGCAGCATGCCGCTGTCCTGCCTCCCCAGTCTCAAATGACAACAAGGAGCTAAAAATAAATAAATAAAAAAAAAGTGCAACAAACTACTACAGTTGTAGTAGTAAGTAGCAATGTAGGCGTGGCAATGGTCTGGCCATGCAGCTGCCTGCTCCTCAGGGTCCCAGCCAGGCAATGGGCAGGCAGGAGCCTTGCTGGGCCCTGATCAGCTGGAGCCTGCACTGCCACAACCCCCCCAGTTTTAAGAGGAAAAAGAAATATGATCAAGACTGGCCTTTCCTTGTGGGACACATTCCTTCTCTTGACACATTCAGACTTTAACTACAAACCCTGGCTTTTTCATACATACCAGGCTCAACAAAATCAGTATCTACCAGACATTTCACAACACAAAATCTCCCTTCTCCTGATTTCTCTAGCACACCTTTTGTACCTCATTCTTTGATTTTTCTTCCTGAACACAGACCCAGAACTATACACCACCTTCCTGAGATCTCACCACAGCAATGCCCAACTTTCACACGCTCCAAACAACTCCAGCAGTACAACTGCACCTCACTCGCTTTCAATACTGCTCCACGTAACCGTCCCCAGTCAAAACCCTGGGTAAAAGGTTGGTGCCCTCCCTGTTCCTCTCAAGTTGGGGCTTGCTGTGCTTCCCCAAATTAGTGTCTTCTACCTGTCCCCTCTGTAACAGGCAGGCACTAGGGTCCCCAACCAGAGCTGCAGCCTTGCAGTTGGGTGAGCAATGAGGAAAGCGCTCTCCATGCCGCAGAGGGGCCCCGAGCGGCAGGGCAGCCCCTGACCGTCCCCTCCCCACCAGGCCAGGACTATCGTTACCTTCGGCAGGGTTCATGGCTGCATCGTGGAGCAACGTTGCTACACACCCGGCTGCACCTGCAAAACAAGAACTGCCACATATGAGGGGAGGGAAGAGAGGGACCCCAGGGCTCCACCACAGCCCTGAGTCCCCCACCAAGGCACAGGAAGAAGCCTCCAGAGGAGGGTGAGATCCAAAGGGGGCCTCCATCTCCCCTCCAAAGGGTAGGCCGGTCCTCAGTAGCTCCCGCCCAGAAAGAACTCAAGAAAGAGGAAGAAGATCTCTACAGGTTGCCAAGTCCCACAGGCCGACTGGGACATCCTTGGGGACAGGCCGATGCCACCAGGTAACGGGGAGCCCAGAGGCCAGCGAGCACCCCGTGTGACACGGAGCAGGAGAAACCCGACGGCGCTCTGCCGCACGCCTGCTGAGGGCAGGATGCGCCCTGCTCCCCCGCGCCTTCCCCACTCCCGCGGCTCTTCCAGTCGAGTAACGGGCACCGTGGCGAGACGGGCTCCAAAACCACGCAGCGCTCCGGGACCGAGCTCCATTGTCAACGCTCGGGGCCGCGGCC